CCCCCCCCCCCCAACTCCCTTGGCACCGAAAAATCCGTGTAGCTTGTAGAAAACCTAAGTTTGCAACCTATTTCCTACTTTGTTGTTATATGAATCAGCGCTGAGATCAACAACATCGTTCGTAGATCTGCAACACCATTGATTCAATCTTTTCGCTAGGTATCCTATTGTATCACTGGTAATAGGAGGCATTGAGGTATGGCGAGCTCTTTCGTCTGCCCTCTATCCTCTTCGCAGTGAGATGCCTATTTGGGGAGACCCAGAGAGAACGACAAAAACGCTGAGTCATTACACACGCGGTTGACAACGGTCCTGTAACTCAAATGATGGGACATGGCTGAGGTCGCACTGAGGCTGTTAAGCAGCTTAGCCGTTCGGAGCGCGTACTTATACTGCGCCGTACTTGTAAGGCTTTTTAATGTGTCAGGTGTTCCTTTTTCTTTCACTTTAGTATTGCGTTCCCGTTGACTTTTTTCTATTTGATAGATTTCCTCTCGAATTTTTTTTGAAGACCGCTGTTCAAATGTTTACATTTCACTCATAGTTTTAAAATGAATGTTGCTTCTTGAGAAGCTTCCATTTCATGCTGGAACTTCCGATTTATGCTCTGACCGTTTTCGCCATGGGACTGCGATTCGTGAAGCAGTCTCAGGATCCATTCCACTCCATTTGGTTCGCAAGAACGATTTACTAATGCTCGCCCCATATTGTATCATAGTCTTTCAATTAATTAATATTCAGAATGTCTTCTGCTTCTATGCGGAGCTGCCCAACTTGTGGGAGAGTACTGTTAAAAAAGAATTTGTACAGTCATTTGAAAGCAATCCATCGAACACCATCCGATGAAATTTCCCGAATGCGCGAGCAAATCAGCAAAGAGGCTGGGACCGCAACGGTCATCTGCCCCTTATGTGAAGAGAGCTTTGCTACGTATGATGATTTCGCCCAGCATTGTGGAGCCAGACACGCTGACGACGGCGCCGGAGGGCGACCGCAGAACTATTCTATAGTCTCTGAGAACTTCACCAATCGTCAAGAATATGAGGTATGTTACCGCAATTGTCACCTTGGTGGAAACGAACTCTATTTCTTAGCTCTGGTTAACGAGGAGGTGTGAAGATACGTGCACCTCACTTTTCAAGGAACGAGTCAGGACTTCGGGCTCTTCATCTCGTGTGACTCTTTTGTGAGTTCCGTGCTCATCTTATTGAAGTGAAAATAATACGATCCTTTTACTTTTAATCAGATGCAACCGATCTGGAATGTACAAGAGAACTGGAACACAGAGAGCCGGTGTAACTAAGAAGCATGTTCGCTACTGTTCGTGTCATCTAAATGTTACTTTCAACGAATGCGGAACAGTGGCGGTAGCTGGATGTTTTGGTCATGTGGGGCACCAACTAGACCCGGCCCTGCTCAAATTTTCGAGTCAGCAGAGAATCTACTTGAAGACGCTGCTCGAAGGTAATGAGAGAACTGACGTTAACTTCATGTACTTTATCTAACACAACTTAAAATAGAACACTCCGTGGACTACATCATCAGTCGACTGCGCAAGGAGGATCCAACAAAATCGACAAAACTCTACTTTGTCGTGAAGCAGGATCTTCACAACATTATAAGGAATTACCGTATGGCACCAGGATGGAGAGATGACGATGATGTGACCTCTCTGCCTCCGTTACGAGGAGAACAACTATGACGACGGAATCAGATATACGGAGCTACCCGGAGACGAGGGAAAGGTCCTTAAGTAGGTAGGGAAGTTATAAAAGCGTGTATTTGCATAATGAAATAGTGATTTCGCATAATTCAGTGATAATAACGCCACTCATGCTGAAGTGACTGGAGAAGTACACCTTCAAAGGAGTTTTTCTTGACGACATATCCCTCATAACGAGGTACGACTTGAGGTTAGTAACTCTGATGGTCTCAAATCGTGGGCTTCCCGGAGGTATTTCGATATAGCCTTCATAAATAGTGGTGAGTTTGAAAATCGCCTCATTTTTAGCTTCCCTAATAAGTGGAACGATGGCTAGCATGGAATCGCCTCATTTTTAGCTTCCCTAATAAGTGGAACGATGGCTAGCATGGAGTAGAGAAATTATTTGTTGAAATGAAAAGCCTAATGCTAACTTCTTCTTCGGCTACAACGGTTACGGACGAGGCGCCACGCTTTTTAAATGGATTTCGAGCAGTCTTTCCAGAAGTGCCCACCCAGCTTCATTCTGCAGGTTTCACATCGCGCAGACGTGGAAAAGACGTAGGAAAGGAAAACGAAGGAAGTTCGAGAGGTTTGAAGGCATAATTAATCACAGTAACCATGAGCATGTCGGAAAGAAAAGTAGTGCGAAAATTCAGGTGTCACTGCGTTCGATGTTCATTGGAGCTCTTCGGAAGTTATTGAAAGAGAGACAGCTGGAAGAATTTGAAAAGCATTTCGCAGAATTGTTGGTTTACCGCCGAGAAAAAACCAGAACACGATGGCAGAGTATTTGGAGCGAAACTATCTTGGTATTCACTATATTTAAGCGTGGAAGAGATGCAACACTTTAATGTTCCAACATCTGAGTTGTTGATATAATTTGTATTAGGCCGGACACCGAGCTGGGCTTCCTTTGCTAATAGAGGAGCCATAAACGATGCATTTGTAGAACTTTTAATAAATGCTATTGAAGATCTCTCGGAGTCCATAGTGGTGAATGTAGAAACACATTTCTTGTGGCGCACAAAACATCACTTAGCACGTCATTATAGGTGTTACGGTAGGTGTTACGATAGGTCGCCTCCGTGACCTACACCCTCTTTAGGCGGGAGACCTCAGCTTGGGCGGGAGTTCCCTGCTGTAAATAGCCCCCTTCTCACTATTACCAGTTAGTTCTCCCTTTGTTCTTTCGCGTGCTTGCTTTTTCTTTCTCTTTGATTTCAATAAACTTCTGGATTTCAATTAACGCCCTTTTCCTCACTTCAAGGGAACTGTTAGAATTAGCGCTTCCTCTCCCGTGAGTCGGAGATCACTGGTGGTTTCCTTCTTTAATCCTGCCCAGTTCCGAGTCCGCTCGTTGATTCCGGGCTCATGAAGAGGAGGAGCGAATGCTGCTTGGTACCGTCGCCGATTAGCTGCCGCTGCGTACAGGTTGCAAGAGACCCATAAGAACCACAGAATGGTGGAAACTATTTATGCAAGAGCATCTGACCTCGTAGTCAGCGTAGCAACGAACAAATGGCTGGTTCGAAACAAAGCCAAAACGGAAGAATTCGACGTGATCTATGAGAGACCCTGTCCATGCGATGAATCAGTAAATTTGTTATATTTATAACGAGCTTTTTCAGTAGCCTTGGGAACTTTGAGTGATCACATTGCTTTTTCCGTGCCTTATCCAGGTAATTGAGAAGTTACCTAAATATCTGTGTTATATTATTTATATGTCTCTAGATTAACACACACTGCTTATCATGTAGTGTATGTGCGTATGTGTGGAGTTGCAAGTGCCTCGAAAATGGAAGTGGAGTCAGTTGCCTGCATCGACAAGCGGTGAGGATACACAATAACGAAAGCTTGCCACCAACAGAACGGGCTACATCTACTGTACCTGCACTGGAGCCCCACATGGATGCCCACGGCACCAGCACAAGAGTGTCGTGAAGCACGTAACCATATCTTCAGTGCTATCAGAAGTGTGGGTGTTAATGGTTAGATAGGATTAACTGCGGAAGATAACGAGTTTTCAACAACTCAAACTTTGTAGGCATATGCTATAGTGAAAGCCAACGCTTCATCGCTAACTAAGCTCGGCACCGACTAACTTATGAACCATTTGAAAGAGATTTTACATCACATAAAATTGGCAGCAGGAATCGGCCCGTCTTTTCCATCAGGTACCCTGGCCGTCCGACCACAACTGGTGCAAATTGGGGCACGCCTGATTTATCCAGAATACCGCTCCACCAAGTTCCCATTTACTCGATTGGAGGTTTAGGAACACGTATCATCAACGTGTCTTCTTATCGAATCTTTTCAGCGAGGGAAGGTGAAGAAAGAAAGAGGACCAAGTAAAGACAACACAAAGGCGTAAGGCGATTAAGGGAGACGTCATCCGGTAAGGGCAAGACTCCTGAACAAGGTGAATTCAGCTTCCTTACTAGTTTGCGCATCTCTTTCCTCTCTGTTGTACGCTTGTCGCAATTTACCCTTCTTCAAGGAAAAGAATGACTGAGGTGACCTTTCATTTTACTTGTTACATAGTTCCAAACATGCAAGTCACAGTAAAAATCAAAAGCTCCGAATCCCTTCCAGCCCACTGGCAACAAAAGGGATAACCATTAGAAGGGAATCGAGAGGACGAGGGCGAAGGGCGTAAGCTCAAAATAGGTATTGCTCGGTATTCGATATTTCCAGAATCTTGGTGGACTTGCCCTTATTAATAGTATAAGTCAAGGCATTACTGCTGATTAAATTACTGCACATTGAACATGGGGTTCAAGGACTAGAGTTCACATGCACATTTACAAATACATTATCTATCTCACACCCCAATGAAAACAGTAACGCTTTGTGCGCTCCAATGCGAAAAGCTGCTTCGCACGCACAAGAATAAAAATGTTATTTTGACATTGTTTATTTACCTCTGCATTTGATTTTCTTTAACAACAAAAACAAGTTGTGTCACAAACTGGATCTACTTCATGACGGATACAACTCCTTCGCTATACATCGGTTCTTCCCTTTCATTGGCACACGAAAGTGTTTGTCGAGTAGCCTTACCCATTGATCCTCACAAAGCAATCAAATCAAGCCATCAGTCAATTGAAAAGAAATACAGGATGCATAAAGATTCTCTGGGGCTACCTCTCAGACGTTAAGGTGTCTCTTCCTGTCCACAATGACGTTATGGGGCTTGACTTCTGCTCGATGAGTCATTCCCAACGAGACCTTTCTATGAGTCATTTGCCACCCGCGTTTCCATTGTTCACGTTGGTTTTTGTTTCGTAATTATAGATTTTACCCTGTACTACTTTCGGTAGGGCAGGGGAGAACCAGCACATGTGTCTTTCTTAGATCATATCAGTGCACTTTTTCTTTGATTGCTTGAAAGNTTTCCATTGTTTACGTTGGTTTTTGTTTCGTAATTATAGATTTTACCCTGTACTACATTCGGTAGGGCAGGGGAGAACCAGCACATGTGTCTTTCTTAGATCATCTCAGTGCACTTTTTCTTTGATTGCTTGAAAGTTTGCTTACGTAAAACTAGGACAGCGCTCTTTTTCCGTTGTATGCAGTTGAATTTGAGTTGGGTTGTTTTGGCCATTTCGATTCAAAGGGAATTTCAATAGGCAATTATCTTCTTGTTGCTTAACGGAGTGTGAATTAGAATACGAAAAAAAAAGCGAAGTATGTAGTGCGGGTCGGTTGGAGACCATCAGAGGCGTTAATCCATAGCATAGGTCATCGAACTTTGAGATAGATCGACGTCGGCCCCGGCGCGTGTCGCCAGTTGCCTTTGGCTGCTTTCATACTTCGGCGTGCGTGCCGGCACGCAGGTGGAAACGGACGTACATTTATAAAGCGGAGTGCGAGCGGCTATGCGACGGCGGCCCTATCCAAGCGTGTGACAGCAGTCATCCTCGATTTGCGGCATCGATCGGTACCCGCTGCTGTCACACGCTTGGATAGGGTCGCCGTCGCATAGCCGCTCGCACGCCGCTTTCTAAATTACTTCCGTTCCCACCTGCGTGCCGGCACGCACGTCGAAGTATGAAAGCAGCCTTTCGCGTTTGGCTCACCCGACAGGAGGAAGTATGAAGGCTTTCTATGTTGTTTGAACGTACAGCCCACTTGACACGCAGGAGCCATCCCATGTAGGAAGGAAATGTGGGTATGGGCCTCAGGCCTGGTACCATAGTCTCTTCCCATACCCAACCGCTCTCTCACTCAGAATTATGCACTCATGACCCCCGTCTGTTACGTATTTAGACAGTCTTCACAATTCATGTAGTTATCGAGGGTTTCTGCTGACCGCTACCGCGACGAACGAGCCATCTTCTAGTGTTAATAGAGTTATGGGTGTAGGTGCTGTAGTGGCAAGTGGCGCACTATCCCACACCCGCGGTCACGGGTTCGATCCCCGGATCGATATCTGGCCAGTCAACTAAGTCTTCCATTCCTTTAAGATCGGTTAATTAGTTCCTGATTCGTCTGAGAAGGTCAAAGCTTTGACCTCGTCTGGCCGTCGCAAGTCATTATGTAGGCCACCTGCGCATTCAATGCAATTACGATTTTGAATAGTGGCAGAGTGTGGGGCGCGTACCTCAACCTGATTGCTTGACGTCCCAAGACTTGATCCTTTTTTATTCTATTTCAAATACTTTTTTGATAGGGCTGCGCAAGCTAACGCGTGCTTCACATGTACCGCTCATCTACCATGAAATTAATTAGCGGAATGTTTTATGTATTAGGAAAGGATGACTTTCTGCTAATCGGGATGCCCTGAAGCCGGCTTTGCGGGACCTCTTTCACAGCGACTACTTCACTTTTTGCAGGCTAGTATACGGAGTGATCTATGAATAGATACACAAAGTAGTGGTCAATGTAAGGGGAATGACCGCTACTACGTTCAATGCTTAGGGTGTGAAGTATTTTCGAACATGCAAAGCCTCCCTGGGTTATGCGTGGTCTAGGAGGAACATACAGTATGTCTATACTGCTCTCGAGAGACGGATCGTGTGCAGAACCCTTGAGCCGAGAAAGGAAAAACCAACAAAAGGAAAAGGTTTTAATGGGCGTGATCCTTCATGTGGCCTTCTTTTATTGCTATGAATCAGGCCATTGACCGTCAGGCCATCCTGACAAGGTTCATCGAGTGCCTACCATGGCCACTGCCCAACACTTGTGAATATTTTTCACTCTGGGTAATAAAGTGCTGACAAAACTAGAAATACGGTCTTTGTTTTCTGCTCACATAGTAATCCTCAGGCAATTAATACTATGGCGCTAATCAGTCGGTGGATGAGAGAACGAACAGGGTGCTTTAGACTTGCTTTGGATCTTGAAACGGCGTTGATTACTGCATAAGGTTTAGGCGCCTTGTGCATGCAAAGCTTAGGCGCTTTTTGCGATTTTCCCTACGAAGTATAAATGCGCCCCTAATCCCTAGCTGCGAATCGAGATATAGATTGAGACTACGCTCTACTCTTACCAAGATAAGAATATTGGAATTCTAATGCAGTGCTACTGCATCAATTGAGTAAACTCGATGAACGGTCTCAACACTGTAGAACAAATAGCTTCTGGGGAACTAGGGGCACTGGGTTCACTGGGTGATCTGTGAGCTGGAGGGTAAACTATTTGACATCAGTCATGGTGGGTCCCGCTTGTTGGCGGTTTGGAATTGTTGATTTTGTGTAGAATCTAGTCATTATAAATCTTCGAAATATACCATGTACTTTCTGCTTTATTGTTCGTTACAGTGGATGTTTCAGACTGCATACTAACCTGCGAATCGTCGTGACTCATTCCCTTTCTCAATCTGAAATATTTTGTCAAACATGAGTTGGTTCAATAAGCCGGATCCGAAAGGTATACCTTATATTCAGAAAAATTTCCTAAATCTTAGGGTAAATCACCAGGAGCTCATCGTGCTAATATTCTGTTATTGAAATGTATTGAATTTAGACCAAATGCGTGAGAATAACAAGAATATACGGAGAGCCAATCGTGAGCTGGAAAGCGATCGAAGAGCCCTCGAGCGTCGGGAAAAAGAGCTGGTATGTATTCAGGAGTTAAGCAGCACAGATTATTTTAAGTAGCATCCTCAGTGCATCTCCTCTTTTAGGAGAATGAAATCAAAAAACTAGCAAAACAAGGCCAAAAAGATGCTTGTGCTGTACTAGCGAAACAGCTCGTCCAACTGCGCAAACAGAAGACAAAAAGTATTGGTATGAGCTCGAAGCTCACTGGAATCGGAGCTCAGAACAAGTTAGTTGTTATGGAATTCGTCGTATTTCGCGCATAATCTGGGGATCTAAAAAGTAGTAACCGTTGATAAGTCTCTAAGTGAGAGTTAAGGTTATGGGTATCATTTCTGGGATCTCTCAATCTTCGATACGCATCTGGGGAATGACCAGTTTTACTGAACTCCTCTTTCGATATATACTTCGCATATGACTTCCATGTGAAAACAGCATTTGAACATTGACTCTTGCTTAGGCAAGTCCGCTAATGAGATTACCCTATAGAAGTGGAAAGTTTGTTGGGATATAGTGGGATTCGCACCTTAACTTTGCAAACCATGCGTTGATGCTGAAGTAAGATTCGGCGAAAATTGCTAATGTCTTTTGGGCAAGCTTTAAGCTTAGTTAAAAAAGTGTCTTTCCGCTTTTGGAGCTTTCAAGTTTTAGTTCTTAATATACGGCAGCTTGAAGATAAGCAAAAGTGAATCTTTCATTTCAGTCAAATGTACAGTATGAACAAAATGTCACAAGTAATGGGTCAAACTGTTGGTACTATGAAAACGATGGAAAAGTTGATGCCTATGGAGCGAGTTGCAAAGAATATGAAGGAATTCCAAATGGCGCAAGAGCGGCTTGGCTTATCAGAAGAGGTGTGTTTTGTATATTACGAACTTAACTACTTCCGACCTCGATATTTGTGTCAGACCAAGTTATTTGAGAAAAAAAATATTTATCATTGAGCTCGGTTTGAACCTATTTCATCGTGTTCCATCATCTTCAGCTGGGACGAAGCTCACCTGAATTTTACTGTGGATCCTGAGCCTTCTTCTTTGGGATCCCTTCCCTTTCAGGCAGTAGAGATACCCTTTTCTTAGTAGAAACTGAAGGACTAGCGTGCGTTACGGGTCGTTGCGAATTCTTTCTGCTTCTAAATTGTTCCTTAGCTAAGTGGTTGGCCTCTCCGGGCACTTGGGCATTTTATACTAAATATAGCTGTGGGTGGTCAGCGAAAAGGAAGAAGATGAGCTGCTGTCAAAGGCATAGAAATGTGTTATACGTAGCACTGTTGACCTATAGAAAGATCTATGGCCTAAAATGTTTTTGTACTGAAGATGATGAACGATGCTCTGGACAGCATTCTCGACGAGCCGGGCGATGAAGAAGAACAAAACGCCATTGTGAACCAAGTTTTGGACGAGATAGGCATCGAATGCCAAAGCAAGGTCAGCTTTTTAAGTCTTTATTTGCAGGATTTTTCTTGGACTGTTCAATCATTTCAGCTGGCCGCTGTGCCGAAAGTGCCTACATCCGTTGGCACGGCTTCCAAACCGATGTCTGATAAAGATATAGAGAGTATGTTAGCCCAGCTCCGGGAATGAGGCTTGCTAACGGGTTTTGGGTTGTAAATAATATAAAATAGTGGAGCCATTACCATTATGACTTCCCTTTTTACATTGTCTTGCTCACTGAATGGAACGTTTTGAACTATTTGTACAGTATTCATTTGCGATTGCTTGATCTTTTCAATACCAGATTTTCTCATGCCGCTGCTCTATCAGATGCTGTCTTTATAGTATAAACGGGAAATCAAGCCCTTCTATTTTTTGTTTTGATATCATGTTCTTTGTTTCTGGCTTCAATGAAATAAACAGTAGTATCAAAGTTTTTGATAACTACAAACTGTTAAGAAGCTTCTTTATAATATGAGAACACAACATGAACATTAGCAAACTCGTATGAAGGGTAGGGGACGGAATGTCCCATCGCGGCCCTTTGAAACCAGGTTCACAAGGGCGGGACAACCCACTCCCGACCAGAAGGCCGCGATGTCACATCCCGGTCCAGACAGCATAAGAAAAGTGAAATATCTACATATTGTTACTCAAAATACAAGAGATCATTGATTCTGTAACTAATTATGGCTTCAATTAAAAATTAACATGCCGAGGAAGCGAATCTGTATCTGTAGATAGAAGAATTACAATGTTTACTAGCTAATAACACATCAACGAAGATAACAAAATGTAAGGATTATACGCGGCTGATACATTCTGCTTTATTGTTAGACATTATTGCCAAGTTTGCATACTTGTTCTTGGGGCAACAGCTTGGTTGGGTAACAAATGGTTATCACATGAAGTATTGGAGTGATCTCTTAGTTGCTCTGGGTAAATGACAGTACGATCGGTGGCACCTGCTACTGGGTAATTTCAACCCACCAATCGTAACTACTAAGTGCTCCAAGCCCTCCAAGTAGAGCCCCGTACGTAATGGATTTTAATGTAAATCGCAAACATGTAGTACGCAGGAACTATCGATTATGCAAGAAAAGGCCATTTGTGATGGACATCAAGGGTATCCCAAATATCAATCAAAGACGTCCTATAAGTATGGCTATAAGATGTTATATACTAACAGCCAGGTTTTTTTTTTCGCGTTGGTTGCAAGCGGAGAAGAGTTTCTTTATCTCCCACGCACGGCGCATAAAGAAAAGTGGCAAGAATGATTGGTCCCATTTCATTATAGAATAACCGCAAATTCCGTTTGTCGTTATTCTGAGCAATTTCACCGATGATGTGGTTTTTTAAGAAGCTCAATAAAGAACTTTCCGAATTCCTGATCCGGAGTGTTGCCTCAGATGTCGATTTCTAGCACAACTGGAGCATGATCGCTGCCCATTACACTAGTTCGTATCTCGCTACTTTTAACCTAAAATATTCTTCTGAGCAAACAGCAGCTAAGGAATCTACAGACGAGGTAAACATGAAAGCTTGCATAACGTTCCGCGAAGGCTTTCGACATTTATTGTTAATGTGAAAATTTTTTTCACATAGACCTCAGAAAGAGAGCATTAAGCACAACTACGCTTCTAATTTCGAAGTCTCAATCTGTTGTTATTTGTCTTGACAAAAACCATCCCTAAGATTTAATTATCTTATTACAACGACGCAGCGAAATCTCTACAAGTAAGTAACTAGGTCAATCACCGAAACCCCTTAAATGGTAGTTTATGATGCTGACGGCTCTACAGACGTAGGCTGCTTGCTGTGCTGCAAGTTTTTCTTTTCAAACAGTGGGTCGTTAATGAAACTGATATGCTATGCGTTTACGCCAAAGATATCAATGGGATAATTTTCAAAAAACTGTTTCCTAAAGCACATACCTTTGAAAAAATTCTGTCGCTCACTACATAGTAGTCAAGTCGCCATCCTACATTTTTAGAACGAGCGTTTCCCATATAAGACCAGAAAGTGTATTCTTTTTTGTCACCATGTAATTCACGGTAGGTATCCTACGAGAGAAAGAACGATTACTTCACCGGGCACAAATGTATAGGCATTCAGCATACCTTGAAGCCAGCATCGAGCAAACGAGTAAACCACCCACGCTCTTGATCAGTGAAACCAGCAGTCTTATTTCTGTTTGACTCAGGATTTGCCAAGTCTAAAATCAACTTCAATCAGTGAAAGAGGTTTTTGAAATGGAGGAGCATCTGACCCAACCTATTTCATTATGAGCCACGTTCAAATCCCCAGCGTAAATCACTGGTTTTTTCGAATCTAGATCCTTGATTTTCTCCAGGAACAGGTCCTCCCACTTCTCGCGACCTCCGAGATTAACCAATCCACGTCCGCTGTTTGGAACATAAGCACCAACGAAGTAGAACCGTGTGTATTCCGCGATGATCAGACGGCCTTCGTCAGCGAACAGCTCTTTATCGAGGCCTGTCCAGACCTAAATACAGATGTCAAATATTCTTACATTCGACACCTCAGTCTAAAATGCACAAGGAAGGAGAATTCCCGCATTATTTTAGAACTACTTGGAGCTCTGGGAAATATGAAAGGAACATATTGCATTTTCTGAACAAGACCAAACAAATAGCAAAATTCGGATTTGGGATTCGAACATTGGGAAAAGAGATAGTACGATGACATTCATTCCGAGTAGCTACCGATTTGGAAAATTTTCTGCATCCACTGAGCATTCAGGGATCACATCGACGCAAGGCTAAGTGGTAAGGTGCACATCCGCAAAGCCGGACAAACCACTCTTCATCTGGTAGAGATAGAACCATTGCAACTTTGAAATCTCGGTGAATTCTGTCACTTATCCGTGGACGCTAACTGGAGATTTGGTTTCAAATTCTAATTGACTCTAGAGTTTAACAAAACAGTTTCGCGACTGACTCATTAGGGTTATTCGTATTCGCACTCTATCGAAATGACTTGAGATGTTCGGAAATCTGGCTTTGAAGATGAAGATTCTTCACGAAGAACAAACCGACAAAAAGTTATTCATAACTGTCTTCACATTACCTACTGATGGAGAGTAACGGAAAAAGAAGTGTAGAAAAGTTTAAAAAAAGGGGCTCCACTCCCTTTTCAACTACTATCGACCCACAGAAAAGTAAAGTGATGAAGTAAAGCGAAAGCAACAAAGTTTTCCAGCAAAAGCAGGAACCGTGGGTTATACCACTTTGATACGCATCGAGATAAGTCACACGGCAACTGCAGAAACAATTGACACAGTTACCATATAACAAATCGTTCACGATTATCTCGATCAGTAATGGATATCATGAAGTACTCAGGCTAATTGTAAGTCAGCACGCAACCCATGGCGCGTGCCTCTTGAACGCGCCAGACTTTCGACGAACCCCCAACAACGCTGCCATTAGAGAGATGTTTCTTTTCATTTTGCTTTTGTTCTCAACCTCTGCCACGCCAGAACCATGCCTTACTCTAATGGAAGGTGAAAGATAGTAGGGGCTTACAGCTGTGAAAAAAATGAACCTTCCAACTCAGGCATGAGACAGACGCAATGGACGTCAATGAATTACCACGAGCGACAAACCCAACTCGAACAATCGTACCTTGATCTTCCACCTTTACTGGCTTTATTTTGCTAAGCTCCTCACCTTTATTGGCTTTATTTTGCTGAGCAAAGCGACGCCAGCGTATCCTCCTTTGTTCTTTTTTGAAACCACCAATGTTTTGTGATAATCCTTAAAGTATCATAGATTAGAACGATCGTAAACAACAAAATAAACGCTAACCTTCGCTTTGAACGCACTTTCCAAATCGACGGGCCATTCGGTACACTTCGTTTCGCTCAAAAATATCACATCAGCTGCTTCGGCCAGAATCGACTTGTGACCACTCTTCTAGAATAATTGCGACATTAGACATTACTTTTCTACTCGAAATATTTCCTTATGCATCTTCAAGTCCTAGAGCTGTACAAGACCTTCCTGACCTCAAGAATATCTAACATTAATTATGCACAACCTTGGCACAAGCTCGCAGACCCGCCACATTCCAGCAAAGGAATTTCCAGGAACGCTCTTCTTCATCACCTCGGACTTCGTTCTCTTTCGTCGACTCTGGCCCGTCTATATCAATTGTTTTTGTCTTTTTAACCTCGAAATATGTCGTCTAAAATTTCATACTTTAAGCAACTTGCGACAGCGAAGCACACAAATGAGCACGAGCGAAGATTAAGGGTCTCAGATCATTTTAGAACTGAAGAAGAAAGGAAATCACTCACCAGAACTTTCCTTTTTGGCATGGCAAGTTTTTGAAATGAGGCACTGCGGAGGTGGAGGTGAATGTAGCGCCCAAGCATTCAAATCCAGAGCCCGCCAACAGTCGTTAAAGGTCCGAGGCTGCCCTTTCGAGGTTCTGACTGAAATTCAGCATGAACGCATTCACACTTATATCTTAATTCCTTCATGTTTTTATCTGAAAGGATGGATAAGTAGGAAGTTTTCATGGTGCCTACCAATTCACTAAGCACAGATGAACCAATTTGCGCCATAAAATTGAATTCGTACTGGACAGATGCAAACATTGCATTTGAGGACGAGTACTCACCAAATCTCGGTCCGCTCAGCCTTGCCAACATCTTACTCTTCTCCGAGTTGGTGGTCTATGGAGATCCGCGGGCGTACGCCTGGTTTCATTACATCTTTCCAGTACCATACGTCTCACAGTAACACGAGGAGTACTAGGTGGCTCACAGAAATGTGGGCGAGCAGGATGGGCTTGTGGTGACTAGGCGGGAGGGTGGCGCCTTTTATGTAATCAGAGAGATTGTTGTCTCTCTGATAAACGAACGAACAAATAAACACGGTGGTTCAGTGGTATATATTTACTAGCAAGCAATCAAACACCCTGATGCGGGTCGTGTCTGAGAGAAGTGTCCCCTGTTACGGGTAAGACAGAATAGAGAAACGTCCTACTTAAGCCCCGCCCCGAAGAAGCGGTGATGACCGCGGGTTCTGGCCTATGCCAGAACAGGGCTGGATCGGTTATGAAAAGCCCATTCCTGACTTTACACGTAGTGCATGGTAAAGGATAAGCATCAGGATTACGTGCCTTCAGACCCGACATTCGCAGCAAATGTAGACGTCGGTGATGCGGTCGGATAGACGGTTCTTATAGTGGAACTCGTAGCACAGCTCGTGGNGTACAACGTCTGGACCACGTTGCTGTGATGGTTGGAATGCAGCAGGAACAGGGGTAAAAGCCATGTTGAAATACGGTATAGTAATAGGTAGTGTTAGATTAACAGTGGTAAGTAGGTCACACCCATTTGGCCCTCTAATTCTAGACGGTACCTTAGGTAGCACGCAGTCAGGCACTCACTATAAGAGTTCAATCATTCTAGGACGACTGTACTACTTATTCCCCTTTGCTCAGTAGCAATACGAGTGATCTCTTGCAAGTTTCTCTTCGGATCATGTGGAAGTGGAGCTTCATGAAGGATTTAAACCTACTGGAGAACACATGAAAACCTGCATACAGTCTATGGTATCGCGCGTGGGACTCTGGGAAAAGGTAAATGTCTCAGATGAAAAGAATACTTTTGCACTACAGTAATGACTTTGCATCCATTTCTTCATCATTTTGAGCTAAAATCGGAAATTTGCAATCTTTCAGAAACAATCAAGACTCTCCCGTGTTGTAGGCCAAGAAGCTCGGGGCGTTATTTTTCACGATGCAGTGTTCTGACTCCCGGTGAACGTCAGAGGCCGAGTACATGACTGCGAAGTTAAATTAACAAGTCACCATAATGATTCACGGCACTGAGCTTCACGTACATCTATCTTGAAGTCCTTTCGATCGGCAATGCAATGTTTGATGGTAGTCTGGGCTCCCGAACTTAATTGACGTGTGAATGCAGCCTGGTCTAATCGGCGCTCGATGACTGACCGGTGTTCTCTGCAACAGGAAAATACCAGAGCGCCTTAAATCAAAGATGTACAGACCAGCCGCGATTTACGGTGTGTAGTGCTGGCCTGTAACCAAAGAACTGGAAGAACTCCTCATGGCTATGGGAACGAGAGTGCTGTGGTGGACGGCTGTTGTTACGCATTTGGATCGTTTTTGCAGCGAGCGTTTCGAAATAGCTCCCATTAAGGATAAAATGCGCTAACTGGGTGGCGCCACTTCAAATTAGAGAAACTGTATATCTCTCTTCAAGAAATGAACTTAGTGTTTCAGTGGCGATGAAGATTTATTCTAAATACCGAGGAGTTGCCCGGGGTTGACATCGGGTTTGGCCTATGCCGGAACAGTCACTATTGCTCACCGCGCGGTCAAAAACAGGGTCTGTGAGATCGGCCTCAACCTCAACGTGCACGAAAAACGGCCAAAAGGACGACAAAAGCCGCGCTTTCTTGGAACCTCTCATGAGGACTGGAAACCAGTTGGTCTGCATCCCAACCAAGAATTCATTCGGGAAAAATGGCGTCAACACACCAGAAATGTGGATCCTGCTCCTAAGTAGGACAAACTCTCGAAAAGAAGAAGAAGAACATTAAGACGCATCTACAAAGGACATCGGAAAGGGCCACTGGGCTATGTATCACTACGACAACGCGTTCGAGGCAGCTGAATTACTGTAGGAACCGGATCCCCGTACTGAATTTCCGTTTCTGTGCAGCAAGGATGCCGATTTCGTGAAGTAGTGCTACAGTGGTCCAATCTCCATGCACCGTGGGTCGGCGCTTGGTTTCATCTACCCGCTCTTCGCGTAAAAAGCAACCCTGCAACCGTTCGTCCTCATTAAAACCCATTTCTTTTCTCTACGTAGGCTCAGAGGACCCTGGAACCACTGATCCAGCTTGAGATGAATTTGAGCAGCGGTCTTCCCTTTTGTAACGTCCCGTTTGAAATTTTTGTTCCCTCACGCTTCGTTCAGTTTTTGAATGTTTCCTTCGACAATCCTAAGGGCTTAAGTGAAGCGGCGTAGCTGGCTGTTCCAGCCTGATATCAAAGCAAAATAGATGGAGACAGCATCTTTCCATTCCCTACCATCCCGTTAGGTGTCTGCACGTCGGATGCCTTCTAAAGGAGACGATCTATGAAAAAAAAACCCTACTTTTCGTTCCTGGCGCTAAGCATCCATGCTACCTCGGTCATTTGTTGAAAGGGGGAGGGGGTTTGCATTTAAACTGAAGCCTGATGGTAATAGTTCCAATTAGGGTTACTTCCTATTCATCCTGAAGGGTACATGCATGACACTTTCGAAGCGCGATCCGATCGTATGGTGATAGAGATTTCGAAATTCGGGGTGAGTCGCTTAGCAGGGGGACCAGTCATCACAACAAGTTGGTAATAGGTCACAAAATGCTTGCTGTCATGCGTCAAGGGTACTTTTGCGAGACAACACTTAACGAAGCTCTCCCGAACTCGTGGTAGTAACAGTAATACTGTTCCTGTCCTGCAATACCCCGAAAAATCAGATAAAGACACCTTCCTGGAGAATATACTTGACATAATCTTTCCATTCCATAGATATTAACTGTTTAATGAGGACTACCTCGAGAAATACGCGACAGTTCTCGTCCACACTTTTTCAAATATTTCCACCCGCAATAATTACCGTATCAGTCCTGATTCAGGGGAGCGGCACATTATTAAATACGACGCGCAAGCCTATTACTTTCTGTGTTTTTCTGCTTATTAGCAGTTGTGCTTCTTCTCTTCTTTCTTCCCCTCCCTCAAGAAAATGGCTACTCGTCACTCCGTATATGGTAAGCTTTCCTACAGTCTTTCGTTTTTATTAAGCTTACGGTTGTAATGGAAGCTTTATAGTACACATAAATTGAAAGTCTTGGATTGTTCATCGTTCGGAAACATGGGTCCCTTACTTAGACTTTGTCGTTCTCATCTCAAGAGGTTCCGGAGATCCGATTTTGCAGGAAACAAGGACAACAGGCTTTAGAGACCATAGTCCGTAGTAAGAAGTTAATTTCCATTGAACGCCTACAGAATCATGGTCGAGATGGATGGGACGAAGTCAACATTGAAGAGACAGCGCCGACTTATGCAACGGTAGAGGGAATTCACCTAGTGATTGGGTTTATAGTTATTTTGCTTTTCTTCCTTGTAGCAAACTAGGTTAGGCTAGGATGCTGTTGTTCTCCAGTTGTTTGTGATGTTTCTGAATGTCTGGTATCGGTTTTACTTTTACTTCCACTCATATTTGTGTTCAATTAAATTTCACTTCAGTTGGGAATCTCCCCTACCAAACTAACGAAGAGGCAATCGGAAACCACTTCAGTCAAGCTGGCCACGTTACCAATGTCAGGTAAGTCTACCACTTCATGGTTCTGTACATTGAATTGGCATTTTGATGTGTTATAGAACAGTAATGTTTCTCTATTTAGAATAGTGTATGACAGAGAGACTGGACGCATGAAAGGCTTCGGATTTTGCGAGTTCTCAGATGAGGCTGGAGCTCAGAATGCCGTCGACACGTTGAATGGAGCTGATTTCAATGGACGACAGCTTCGAGTGAATCACGCCAACAGGAACTGATCTCCTTGGCATTTCATGACTCATATGTATGCATTCCATAGCTTCATTATGAACCGTTTTTGTTTGTCGTCGATTTCGTTGTATGGATCTCAAATGGAGGATCTAATTAGCTGCAGAAAAATGATTGGAGGCCCATTATGACTTAAAGGAACAGTTCACGATAAAAATGGCTTATGAGGTATCCCGTCATGATAAATATGTGGCCCCTTCGAATACCGCATATGGCGCTGTCAGGTCGGAAAACTGCCCAGATAGGGCGTTATAAAGGCCGAAAGATTGTCCGGTGAGTATGTGTAGACGAGTTTCAACAGTTTGTGGAGGCTGCAATATTCACAAGGGAGCCCATGCAGAAAGTTCTAGCAACTTGCCTTGACTGATGGGACAATGAAAGACCACTCTGGACAGTTATTGCTTGATGGAGTCAGCTCTTTGCGTAAGTGCAACAACTGGAAATTCGTCCAAACAGCCCTTCCATATCATTTCATTCGTGGTAATCTAGTACATCCTACTACTTCTGAGAGCCTTATTTTTCACAAAATCGACACATTTTCTCGATCCCTTCACCACCGGTGCACTATTCCCAACCAATACTACCGCTTTTCGACTCGAACGTGGTATCTCAAAATTATCGTGAACTGTGCCTTTAAGGTTTTGGATTTTGTGAATTCAACAAATGTATAAGCGTATTACTTCCATGCAGAGTTTTCTTAACAGCCTTCCAAAAACTCACCACTCACCCTTTCGAAGTTACAACTTATTGCTACGATGCCATCTAAGGCATCAGATTCTGTCTTCTTTCATTCACTGCTACTGCAGTAACTCCGTTTATCGTTAGTTATTGGAAGGATCAGTTGGGATAGTCGAATAATAGTGGTCCATGCAACTTTGACTGTCGGTTTTCGCCAGCAAGGCTTCATAGGCCATTCCCCCAATGCGCTCAAACGCTCCAATCATTTTTCAAATTCTCTTGGTGATTGTCTGTAAGCCTGTCCAAACATTCGTTCAATTCAACGGCGGTGTGCGTTTGATAAACAAAAGAATTCTCACCTCTGATAGGATCTCCTTCATTGAACCTATCAATCCCATTCATATGACTCTGGACTTGGAAAAAGAAGGGATGGCAGATGGGAAATCCGGCGCGTCTGGAAATTTTGACTACACTTTCCAACTGAGTTGTACTTTTTATCTTCTGGACCATTTATTTTTTGAAATTGGTCAGTGACGTCCAGGAAATCGATATGCCATTTCCCTGACGAATGTGAATTGAGTGGAGGTGTCGGTGTAGGGTCCAGTGGGAGCACGCTGGTGAGGCGCCTAATGACGTCGCCGCTCATGTTGATCAATAATTCGAGAAATAGTACGGTCATGTCATAGACACCCAGACGATCAGGGACGGATTTATGCGGAACTTGCGATCGTACGTTCTCGCCTGGGAAACATTGTTTTCTATGGTAGCATGACTTATCAAGAAAAGCAGTACTGTGACTTCCCCGCTTGCAATAGGGAAACAAGGTTTTTACATCCAAGACATGAGCAAATAAACGGCCGTTTGTCCATCCAGGTGCTGATTTCATACCACGGGGCTTGTGTGTAATATCTCTGGTTCGTTGGAACATAGAGGGCCTTCTGCAAAGTTCACTTTGACCGGTATTACTCACAAAATGAAGCTCCGTACCGGCATATTCATGGGTTCCTCTACAGCGCCTATACGGGAGCCCGAACTGACTCACCCGACAAATATTCTAATCCTATCAATTTAATACGTGATGGTAATAATTATAGTAAGATTCATGCTTGCTAACCAAACATAGAGTAAGGTCAAGCGGTCAGCGAGGCCATTAAGTTGCAAAAACTCTTAAAACACCCAAATCTTTTCAGAGGGGTCGCGGAGCTTTTAACACTAAGGACTTTAGTGTAGGCGGTGGTGTCTACTATTCCGAGTTGGTGATCTTTACCTCCCAACATTATCTAGACTCTGTGAGGCCTGTTATTTTAGGCAGGCAGCAGTTTCAGCGGCTATCACTCGAAAATGAGTCAATAAGCACAGCCAAAAAGTAAACAAGTGGCAGAAGTACACTACTGACGCTGTCACTTTGAAAAAGGACAGATCCTTCAACATACATCTGTTATCTTGTCAAGAAGTCCTGGACACTCTCATGACATCTTCGAATGAAAGTCATTTTAGGTGGTTCTTTAAATCGCTACGCTTAGAACTGACCCACTAGTTTCACGACATTTCGGTGGATCAGGGTAGTGCACCAACAAGTTCTTGAGATTTTTTGAACTACTATTTGAACCTGGAAGCTATTGAAGTGAAGTGACGACCAAGGGGAAAAGAATTTGTGGGAAACGGTTGGTGGGGAATGATAAAGTGGAATACGTTGAAAAGATCTGTTCATTCGGGTCCTCCCTTAGCGGACCAGAATGCTGGCAGAAGGTTGGAGAGGGCGCCCTTCTTAGCGCTTTGACTTCCCCAAGAACACCCTTTCGTACAGTGGACACAGATGAGACGCAGATAGGAATGCAAAAAGCATTTGAATTGAGCGCACACACTACCGTATCTGGCTTGAATCAGGCGAAAGTGGGCGTTACGAGTCCACGTACGCTCCGCCAGCTCCCCAAGCGTCATTCGATTCGTTGCACGGTCGCCTACTTCCCCATCTTCTCTCCCTCACTTCCACTTCACGAAATGGCCACTATGGGATATCATCAACGAACTGGACACTCCGTATACGGTAAATCTTCGTTTTTCTTTTTAATAAAGGGTTATTGAACAGATAAGTCAGTCAAATCTTACTAATCTTTGAGCTTTAATAAGACTTTTCAGTACCATATTTTGAGCATTAAGTAATGCGCTATCGGTGTTCTCATTGGTTTTGAAAGCCTTCGAAAACATTCCGATATTGCAGGAGACAACGTTCGAAGTGGCCATAAAGGCTAGAACGCTAACTTATAACTATCCTCCCATCAGCTGCGCTGGCTGAAATGGAAGACACGACTTCGCCATGGAGACGACAACGTCGTCGCACAAAACGGTAGAGGGACTCGTGATCGGGCTTAGTAGCATTTAGTGTTCCCCTTAGGCTAGGTTAGGTTAGGGTGCCTTAGCTCTGTAAGCGCTATATCACGAATCATAACTGAGTGGTATTGGTTTTAATTCTTGTCACATTTTATTCATAATCCAATCGCATTTTTATTTTAGTTGGTAACTTGCCTTACCAGACGACCGAGGATGCAATCGGAAATTACTTCAGCCAAGCTGGAAACGTAACCAACGTCAGGTAAGCTCATCCCTTCTCTCTTCATAACGTTCTTCATCTTCAAAATAACCTTATTCCAGAATTGTATACGACCGTGAAACTGGTCGCACCAAGGGCTTTGGATTCTGCGAGTTCTCCGATGAAGCTGGAGCTCAAAATGCTGTTAACACCCTCAATGGAAGTGATTTCAATGGCCGGTCACTACGTGTGAACTACGCCAACAAGAACTGATCTCGTCTCCAAAATTGTTTTTTGCTGTAGATATCGCATCAGTTTTTAAAAAATATGTTCACTGTTGTGTTTGTGATTACCAATGATATGGTAAATAAAACGTGACGTGATTTGCGTTCTCAAACAAGTGGGTCAGGGACGATGAGACAACACAACGCGAGCCAAAGCGCTGACACGGATCACGCGCCACAGCTCGACCCCGTTTACGATTCTGAGTCGACAGTGGTGTTCTGTCATTGTCAATCGAGGGAAGTACGTTGGAAACCATGGACTAGATCGGTCGCTCTCGGACTACTGCGTGGGCGCTGGGCGCAGAATACTCGCAGGGCGCGCTAGTGTCCGAGTAGCCGTTGACGGTGTCTACGTTAGAGCGTATTATTTTCCCAACAGGGTTGAGTAGAGCTCTTTCAGAATAACGTAGAGAACGAAAAGGAATGTCAAATCCGTATAGAAAAGAAATTTACAACAGTGGTTACGACAACTCATGAATATAAAAAGTAATAAATTGAAGTTAGTGGAGCTTAAAAGCAACAATAAGCGAACCCAACTAAAGAACAGAATAACCAGATACACCAGAGATGGCTCGTTTCGCCACTTCACCAGAAGAACCACTGTCTCCACCTTTCCCTGAGGGCTCCTAAGTGGTTTGGGGTTAGTGGGTTAGTGGAAATAAGAATTGGTAAAGATATAGTGTTCAAATCGAGGACAGCAGTGAATATGAAGTTATACTATTGGTAATGCTTATCTCTGTATCAGAATTTCATTAACTAATAGGTTATTCCACTGAAATTGCTCTTAATAGAAAACTTGTAGCGTATAAATTCATTTCTATTAGATTTATGCATAAATATTGCGGTTTTACAAGAATTTTATTTAAAGAACGAAAAAAAAATCCAACAAAGACATGCTAAAATAATTGCTCCACAACATATCCACCAACTCCGTCCAGCACTGTTTCCCATTTGCTAGGCAGGCGAAAAAGGTTAGATTTTGGAGGCGATCCAAGCCTTGACACAAGTCATCATACCATCCATTTCGTCGTAAGTTCCGTTCCAAGTTGCCAATTTTTCAATGGACGAGTGACCTGATAATCCACAGAAGTTCCTGTTGGTGAATAGGGTGGATAGGTTTCATCGCCGAAGAGTTCTACAGATCGCTTAATGAGCGTGCAATCTTCCAACCTTTCTCGAAGTAATAGAGCATAATGTGGCGACTATGAAGATGACTTTCTAGACATATTTCTGTTAAGGAAAGGCATTTCTATAAAAAGCCCATATTTTGAATTTGTTGAGAGAAAAGAATCCGCAGCAATTATGCATCAACCTTTTATATATGTACCCAATTATACAAGTAATTAGGGACTCGTCTTTGTATTCAATTCTCAATGGAATTTCTATCATTACTTTTATTTTTGTGGTAAACGTTTCTATATTAGAACATGTATTGGCAATTCTCAATGCTTCTGTGTATATAGCAGAGGCTCTGTTGATTTAGAAATCATTCGCGGCCAACCCGTGCCGTATCGATCGGCGACCGGTGTTGTCGCCAGAGCGCCGGCGCTCAGTGATCAACGGTTTACTCTGAAACCTCCCATTGTCTCTAAAAAGAACATTGAGACCTTTGACAGCTAGCCATTGGAGGGATTTGATCGCCCCGTGAACGTGCTACCCTAGTGCCCCATCACCTACTCTGTGCGCTTCACATGGGTACCTTTTTGTTGCGTCGTACATGTGACAGGTGTTTGGAGGCACTTGAGTGTGTGTCCGGGTTACTACGTAACACATTCGCGGGTCGATGAAATCCGTCTTGTCAGCTAGCCTTGGTTAGCTGCAGAGTTATCGCTCAAAATGTCTATAGTGCGGTAACAGGGTCGTTGTTCTCGGTTGTCCTATCATAGCCCACAGTCATGCCGATATATATTCCGCTATGGAGAAGGTAGAATATTGGTCACGCTGTTCTTCACCACTTCACTACCTGTAGTCAACAACAGATTTGTGGTAAGGCCCTGATAAGGGGTGGTGGGGACTGGTGAGAGGAGTATGTCAACATGTCGCTTATTACGTCATTTGTTTTGGATTGGGATTCAAAAAGAAACGGGAGAGGCGGAATGATCGAAGCGGCCGTAACGGATGATCCTGGTAAGTTCGAAAGTCAACGCACTTCGCCGTTTGCTGTGATGCTATTAAGTAGGAAATGACAATGGCAAGCTTGCTGGGGACATCAAGGGCTAAGGCAGTGAATCTATGGAAACTAGTTAGAAGTAAGGGTCTATAAAAGGCAATTACGATGTTGGACAGAATCCATCGATATCGGCTGTTACTACAGTAACCCCTTGAGTAGTGTAAAACTATCTGTAAACATAAGAAAATCAAGGGACAAGGATATCTAAACCGTTATTGTGTTACTCGGTGTGCCCCTAAGCTCTCTGTCTCCCACTATCTATTATGATTGATCTCAGAGCCGTTTCTAACCTACATTATACGTTACGCTTCCCCACTCCACGCTTCCCCGCTTCCTGGAACGACGTCCCAACGGTATCACCTTTTGTACTGCTGATCTTCGATATTACGAATCTAAATCGCAGTGGCGATGTTTAATGTCTGACACATGGAGGGCACGTCGGTCTCTGTGGCCCTTGACTGATGGAGCCATTTATTACCCCTTATCAATTCCTATCATCTGCCTTCTACGGCCCAGTGACACCCTAGATCAAATACCAAACTATCAAAGCTCCAATGTTAACACGAAAGGCGCAATGTTCTGTTCGCAATGTAACTCTTGACTTCTAAAACTCCTGATCAGTCCCTATCTGTTGTTATCATTCCTGTCACCCGCCATTAGTGCTTTCGCCTTGCCGTCTGTATCCCTTCCAGATTCGATTACTTTAGGATCAGGGCACCACCTACGAAACTTCGACTAAATACATGCTGACACCCACACATAAGTATGTTGGGCTCAAAGCTCATTGATCTGACGTTTCTCTCCATGGAAACGAATCGCGCCCACACGACTGGAACTGGATCATTGATGCGGTTGTTATGCGACGTTACGGGGGTTAGTTCCTATACCAGAACGACGTGCAGCACTCGCCAGACTGGATCGCGCTCTGTAAAGGGGAAGATATGGATTTCTAGTGGAAGATTGTTGTGGATTTTGTGCTGCCTTATAAAGTGGGAATTAGCTGGAAAAGGGGCAAACGCGTGGCTTTCCTGGCTATCTCTTGTGTTCCCATAAGTTTGCGACAGGATTCTCTCCAAAAGCAAATATTTAAAGAGACAAATCAAAGAGAACGTACGGTTGGTCCACACATTACACCATTCAATTACACTGAATAATCCTGCATTACAACGTCAAGTGTACACCCTGGGCTTTTCTGCGCCTGCGCTAATTGATGTGTCGAGATCTCGAATGCTTATGAGCACGAGATAGTTAATGCTTAATGAGTACGAGACCACTTGAGAAGTAGCCTTTCGTCAGTATTCCATCCCCTCAATCAGGCATTCACGGCCTTTGCTTACACAGTGGGACTCTGCTTGAGCAGCTTTCGTGCGTAACTGTGGAACCAGCTGAACAGACCCAGTTCCTCTGCAGAAGCTCTGAAAAGTCTCTATGGTGACACGCTACATATGCTCGGAAGTCACTGGGAAATCAGCAGAAACCGTTGGCATCAAATGTGAAGGAAGTAAGACGCGATGCTCCCACATACTCAAATAACCACATTTGAGGGAAATTCGAATTTCGCACCCATTTTCGGAGCTTTCTCGGAGAAATTTACCCTTGTAAGCTATGATTCTGCATTCCCTCTGTTATCAGTATCGTAACCCCAACAATCTTTAGCGCGTTTCATGCGACATAAGTGGGTTTCCTTATCTTGTTCTCTCTTGCGTATGCCCAGCACCTTTCCAGTCACGATCAGTAGCAGGAGCGAAAGTTCAATGCGGGAACCCGATTCTCACAGTGGCCTTACAGTGGAATAAAATGCAGTGGACGTAGAATCTCACATACAATGTACTTCATTCCACGGCTTTAGCTTCACATACACGACGCACCTAAATAGGACTTCCTGCAAGACGTCGGTATTGTGGGAAGCCGCCTTTAGGCTATGTCCCATGCGATTATTAGTTTGGGCCACGGCGGGATTACTGTGGAAACCAGAATCCAGTGCTGAGTTATCGTTCGTGCATAAGTATTGTTCAAAATAAACGCTGATGATGGCGTAAGTGGTCCACATGTTGGGCGCAGCATATATCCTCATCCATTGTGTCTCAGCGATGCGGAACAGAAAGCAGTCCCACGCTAACAAGGCTGAGCGCAGTCGCGCTTCGAGAACAATCCCGCATACAACTTAAAGATCGAACTACTAAGTGACAAATCGTAGGGAGTATGATTCCGCAGCTGACTTGACACCAACCCACCCCTTTCTCCAATTGTATGATGTATAACATGGATAGAGACCGTCAGTCCTGCGCCTTTGTCAAAAATATTACAACCGCTAAAAGAATGCGACTTTCTCATCGTTGTGCAACCAGCACGCACTAAGCGTCTGGGATGTTCCTCCGTAGAGAGGAAGATTTCATACTGCTGGACAAAAATGAAACAAGAATGATAATACTGGAGAAGCAGTGGGGACATCATCTGCCAACGCAGAAAGCATGGCGACCAGAAACTGCCGACGTTACCCTTATTGCCACAAGACGGGCAATGAGGCTATTTATCGCAAAATCGATGTTGGTTTAATAACTTTTCTACACCTTTTCTCGAGTATGTGGCGAAAAAATCAGAGACAAAGTCCCGTTCGCAACTTTATTTTCCAGCTGAAAATGCCTACCCGAAGTTGCGAACAAGATCAGACTGAAAAAGTGGAGCAGTCCAAGCAATGCCAAACAGAAGTCAAATTTTATTTCGGAAATTTTGAAGAAAGATTAGAGCTGAAAGTGCCTCTGGTCACGCTTCACATCAGGTTGGAGGACTGATCAACTGTCTGTGGTCCATCACATGGTGTTTTCTAGGAATTAGGAACCTATGGCCTGGCTTCAGGCTATCATTTTTTAACTACAGCGGGTATATTTGTATTTGCCATCAGTTTGGTATACATCACATATGTATGAGTAGGATACTTTATTGGTGTAGGTACATTTTGATTGAGATCAGTTCTTGTTGGCGTAGTTCACACGGAGTGATCGGCCGTTGAAATCGGTCCCATTGAGCGTGTTAACTGCATTCTGGGCACCAGCCTGATCAGCGAACTCGCAGAATCCGAATCCCTTTGGACGACCAGTTTCACGATCGTAGACGATTCTGAAGAAGGGACATTACAATTCATAAAACTTCACCAGTTTTTCTGCCAACTCACCTCACGTTGGTGACATGTCCAGCTTGGCTGAAGTGATTTCCGATGGCATCTTCAGTGGTTTGGTATGGGATGTTTCCAACTGAAAGAAGCCCTTGATTATAATATGAAACCCATGTTAGGAAAAATAAAACCGATACCAGTCAGTTATAGTCCTCAATAAGGCCATTACAGAGCAAAGGCACCCTACCTACCCTAACCTAGACTACGGGAGAGCATGCACAAAATACTGATCCCAATCACTAAGGCAATTCCCTCTACCGTTGCATGCGACGACGCTGTCGCTTCCACGGTGATGTCCTTTCATCCATTGCGACGAGGACTACGTTGTCGCTTGAAGGGATGGATATTTATAAGTTAACATATTAGCCTTTATGGCTTCTCCGGTCGTTGTTTCCTGCAATATCGGAATGTTTTCGAAGGCCATTGGAACCATTGAGAACACCGATAAAGCATAGTTAATGCGCAAAGTAAAAGGAATGCTGTAAATCTGTAAAGCCTTTTGTTATAAAATAGAAAACCTACTGCTTGGGAAAAAAGCAGCCTATAGGGTAAGTAAAAAACATACCGTAGACGGAATGGCGAGTTGGGGGCATTCCCATGGTGGCCATCTTTTTTAGTAAGTTTGAGGAGAGGAAGTTAACACGAAACCGACAACGACCGAGCAGTCACTGATGTGAGCGCCAGCTGGGCGGGCCACGTGTTGTTTTCGATACGGGCGGCTCGCTCCGCCCCTTGCCGACTCATTCCGATCGGCTACGGTAGGGAGATGAAGACATTCAAATGTGTGTTTCCATGATCCTGAAAACACGGGAGTTGAACACGCTCATTTCGTGAAATATGAGCAATACTGATAACGAGAGGTCAAGGTAACAGTTGGAGGTGGAATTCAACCTTCATCTCACCGATCGATCGAATCGGAACAATTATTTCAAGGGAAGTATGAAAGTACTAGGCTTCACGGAAAAATCTGCTGAGAATTTTACAGCAGTCCAGACTCCACCCTTGATTTTCTGAGAGCTTCCATTCGATTCCTTTCGAGGAGGCTTCCCACTCTTATACGTACAAAATATACCACTACCTCCTTCTCGCTTAATCAGCCGTTTAATAACAGGACCGTGGACCCCTATTCACCACGTATTTCTCTACGAGTTCCAAACAGACCACTTCGCTGCTAGAGCCGATTGGAATTTGTGCGAAACATGGCCTCGAGCCTCATCTGAACGGTTCTTTGCATAATCCGTTTCAACGCTCTCAGCCCGAAATAGAAATATAATATAAAAAGATCTTCTGATATATTATATGCATACAAGTGAATTCTGTCCTTTTACGGTCTTCCGGTAGAAGGAAGCTCTCAGAGAAACTCGTTAGAAATGAGGACTGTGAAGTTTTCCCCAGATGCTTTCCTAGCACGAGGCTGTGATGGTCACCCACTCACTTTTCGTTTTCGGGAAATACCACCAAAAATCTCTTGATCAAAGTGCTCATAATAGGAAAATAGTCCCACTTCCACAAGCAAGGTCGAGCTGTTGTTTCATAATCTGCAGCGTGGGAGATCGTGTTTGTTCATCAGTGAAGGAAAGAGTTGAGAAAAGCCCAAAAGGGTCGAAAGGTTGATGAATTCTGTTTTCAACCCCGACAACCAATGCCTGACCCTGGCTTCAAAGACGCTACTTGACGTTACTGTTCCGCGATTTTCTTTCCTGACTACGACACTTTTAACTGAATGTAAGCCCTGATTCTCCGGAAAATATTTCGCGCGGCGACATATTGAAACACGCAGTTTTTCTAGTGAAGCGTCACATCGCAGCGTGGGGGCTATCATTTGAGATAACCCTCACCTGAGATGCGTAACGATCCTCTACCTACTTGTCTTCTTGTTATTACAAAACAAGCGGCAATGGACTCTTGCAAAAACTCAAAATCACAGTGGTTAAAGCTGCCATTGGAGGTTGCCACAAACTTTTTTCAATCTAACCAAACCTCATCACCCTCTACAGTGCGTTTCATACATAATTATAAGGCCACCCCAGATTTTTGCGATTCTGGAGAAAGCAGCCGGAATGGAATTTTTTGGCAAACACTGGTAGATTCCTCGTCACAATGTACCTCCGTACTCAAATTTTGGTCACAATATCCTTCACCCTCAAATTTGTTACGAATTTTTTAAAGATAGTGTCTGCTTTTGCACCGTTTCATAATTATAAGGTCACCCTGAGAAAGTAAATGATTTATTAACGTTGATGGCATATGTACAACACTTAATAATCTATAG